TCGCCTAATGTTTCTATGGGGTTATGTTGACAGATGCCTAAGTTTGTTGTATGACGGCTATGATCTACTTATTTCGACCACCACTTACGCTAAAGCCATCTATAGGAAAACGGCGGAAACAAAATTGTACACCTAATATATTTATATTTTATATATAATATATATAAACAATATACAATATTTTAAATAAAATATATAATTTTCAGAATATTATAATTTTATGTTGGATTTTTAGTGCTGCTTGCAATATTTTGGTGTTATTTGGCCTTTACAAAAAACAAATATCCGTTCTGTCTGCTGCTATCTATGTTGCATTAAGTAGAACAGTTTGGGCCATAGGCATAGCATGGATTGTAATAATGTGTTTTACTGAGCATGGAGGTTAGTTGATTTAATAATAGTATTAAATAGATAAAGAATAAGCAAAATATTCTGACTTAAGAACTTTTAAAAATAAAGATTACTAGAAAGGAAAGGCTACGAGACAAAACATGTTAAGTGCTAATGATTAATCTATATTTAATATTTATCAGTTGATATAAACATTAAATCATACAAATGTGTCAACTTCTTCATCAGATCCTTGGTGTAAAACATAATGATTAAGCTAATTGAAAGTAACAATAAAAATAAATATAAAAGAGTTGCAATCGGATGCGTTACGACCACTTTTGATGTCCTACGCTGGAATTTGCTTTTCCTATCACACGGTTATCTGAGTCTCTGAATCACCAACTGAGTCTCTGATCTACTACTAACGACAATTAACTAATAATTAAAAAAAAAAAGGAATTTCCATTAATTTGCATAACATAGGGATACGAATACAATAAATTTCATTTTTTTTTGTATTAATATTGTGACGCAACGAACTATATTAATGCAACGAACTATATTATACTACTATACTATTATTTTTTCTGGCTTGGTTTTTGAAAATATTCTGATTACGTTATCAGTATGTTTACGTAATTTCAATAGTTACGCAATCAAAACTGATTATATAATCAAAACTGCTAAACTCGCCAATTATTTTTCAATTGATATCATAGCTAAATCGCATGACCACGTTTCGCGTCATTTTTCAGATAATACTTTATTATTTTCAATTTTAAAAAAGATGCCTTTGTAGTTGCCACAGACATTGAAGCAATTAATAAAACCTGTAACGCTATTGCTAAATTTGAAAAGATTTCCAGAAAGTCACTGTTAATTCATTTAAAAATCTTACCTTACCAATTAAGATAGAGCTTTGTATTTACAAGAGTAGCACTGGCTGTTAAAATTTTGCTCCCCTCCAAATTTTACGCTCTACTCTGGAGCGTACCTGCTCAGTGGCTCGTCACGCCTCCGGTCGCAATATAAATCGGTTACATATATTAGATAATTTCAGAATAACTTGATCATCATAAATATTAAATGTTGGTAAATTCGTGTTCTCTTTGGAAGAATTAAGAAAATATTGAACGAGATCATTAAAATTAAAAATTGACGTTACATATGTATGTTACATAAATTGTAAATGGTAATAGATCTTATTTTCCACTGCAATCTTCATTTGGAATAACATCTAACAAAAATCCTTTAACGTATGAACTTGCTCAATAAATCGACCCTGACTTTTGCAGTAATCATTATGTACACAAGTATCTCTATCCACATAATTGCAGTCGGTTCACAATTTTCCTTGTGGTACATTCTTTTTAAATTGTTGTCTGATAAATTAGTTATTTCAAACGTAATGCGAAGCTATGACATATTACATTTGAGATAACTAATTTATAAAACGACAATTTAAATTTCGAGAGTGATTTTTAGCGCCGATGAATGCAAGGCTTAATAAGCATTTTTGTAATAGATAATTACATATTAATAAATCATAACCATGCAACGTTATAATTTAGAACTAAAAATTTATTCAAACGCTTTATTACAGATATTGTTAAGAAGCTATTATCATGCAAAATCTGGATTCCTCTTAGCAGACTTACATACTGTGCTTATCTTATAAATCCTTTTATCATACATTCGATTTATTTGCAGAGAGAAACATCTATTCATTATGAATTCCAATCCTTAGTAAGTACACAAACGATGAAAACTCCAACTTCGACAAATTAAATATACTTATGGTCACAATTTTCAGGGCGCTATAATTATAGGATGCGTGGTGATTAGTTATTTCTGTGCATATGCATTGTATTTAATGGCAGAGTCACCGTATATCCTATTAATGCGAATGTTCAGCCAATCTCATAACAGAAAAAGGAAAGAGATGAGATTATAATTTCGCATACCTGATTGCAATGGGAATAATAATTGTATTATAATAATAATTGTAAATGAAAAACAATAAAATAAAATCAATTTTAAATGTTTATCCCTCTATAGATTTGTGTGAAATCATATTCGACTATGTTGGAACTAAGAAATAAACTAGGTCCAATGCGTATGAAGTATTTCGAAGGAACAATATTTAAAATAAGCATAAATTTAATAAATTGAATAATTTTATAATATTTTTAAAGTCAATTATTGCGTAGAATAGATTTCAATTTTAGGGATATAGAGCTATGTGCAAAAGTATTAGGCACTAACAATTTTCTCGCATTTTATGAAAAGTTAAATGTCTCGAAGAAAAGAAATCTCAAAGAGGTTTTCGATTACGCATTTTAAAGTGTAAAGAAAGGGCTTCAAATCTGCGTTTAAATCTTTTGTCTAGGATATTTTGTTTCTAAGTTATATAAACTTTAAAAATTATATTGTTGCAATATTTTGTTTTACTTTAAAGCGCTACAGTTCGATAAAATATTAGCAAACAAAATTTAATATAAAAGTAGGCTTCTTAAGTTTTAAAATATCTTTTAAAAAAATTTGTACGATAATTTTTCGTAAAGTATCGTAATTTTTATTATGTGAGATTATTGTGTAAAAACTTATTTTTTCTAACAAGTTTTTTCAATTTTGGAATTGAGTAATATACGGAAAGAAGACAAAAGGAAAAAAAAATTTTTTATAATATGCATAATTCGTATAAATTATTTCCAATTTTTTTTTAAATTTTATTTCGTCAATTTTATAAACGTTTCCAGTGGTTACTTGCGTAACTTACACATCAGTAAAGTCGGGTTGCCTATCTGAGCATTCCCATGAGCATGCCTATCTGAGCATAAATATTTAAAAATATATAATTATAAATATTTATAATTATAAAGCAAATGTTTTTGTCTTGAAATGTCTATATAATAAATATTTGCTATATAATTACAAATATTTATAATTATATATTTTTTTTCAATAAATATGTATTAAATGTCATTTATGTTAGATTAAGTCAGATATTTGTATTGTTAAATACACATTTTATATGATATTACTGAATTTAACACTATACCAAAATGAAATTCAATTTCTCTTGTCTCATTCTCCGCTGGACTCTCTTGCGATCTTATTCTGCATTACCAGTAGAGCGTACTCCTACCGATAGGCAGATAGGCAACCCGACTTACTGATGTGTAGATTACGAAAACACCCTGCACACAATAAGACTTAACATTATAAAAAAAAGCCGATATTTTTGCGATAAATTATCGTATAAATTTTTTTCAAAAGGCATTTTGAAGTTTTAGAAGTCTACTTTCAGTCTACTTTCATGTTAAATTTTGCTAATGTTTCATTGAAATTGTAGCACTTTAAAGTAAGACAAAAATATTGCAAAGGTATAATTCTTCAATTTTATGTAACTTAGGAACAAAATATTGAGACAAAAATTCGAACGCACATTTAAGGCCCCACTTACACTTTAAAATGTGTGGTCGAAAATCTCTCTTAGATTACTTTTCATCGAAATACTTAACATTTCATAAAATGCGAGAAAATTGTAAATGCTTAATACTTTTGCACATGGTTGTATATACAATGACATATATTCTAAGGTAAAATCATGCCGTGAGTTATAATTACGGCTTATATTTACTATATCATGTGATTACAAAAAAATAGATTAGCACCATTATCACGACAGATTTAGATTTCTTATCGAATTAATCATCAATTTCTTATAATCTATGTGGTCTATGAATCGAAAGATAAAATTAATTCTTATAAATCATGTGTGTATCAGGTTTGTTCTTACCGTTATTTGAATCCAAACTATTCAATCTTTTATAGTCTTCTGATCATCTCTTTCATCGATTTGAGTATTGGTACTTTATTTATGCTTTTTATGCCCAATGTTCGATTTAATACATTAGAACGTGTCACAATACGTGATAAAAATGAATATAATTTATATATTATTATTCGCAAAAATCTTTCCGGCAGTTCAGGTCTCAGCAAAACTGAATCTCCGGATCGTGCTAAGATTGCGCTAGAAAAACGCGTGCTAAGATTGCGCGAAAAGAGCGTAGAAAAACGCGGAAACTAATACTGCATAGCATAATTTTATCCTCTGTGACGTCACCAGACCGAATCCTGATTCTCTTATCGACGAACTGCTTAAAGTATTTCTCCGGCTTTAATCGCGTAAAATTTACAAATTTGCCTCTTCGCGCGTCTTCTCTGAAGAGAGAAACTTTTGAAACGAGCATACACATACGCATAAATGTGTCGTACCTGGGTGCACGAACACTACACGGACTTCAGTCCTCACTGAAGCAATTGAAATGTGATCCCTTTTTCTCCCCTCTCTTATCAAAAACCTGCTCTTTTAGCCACTAGTCATCCCTATTTTTTTTTCTAAGATTTTTTAAGATTTTTTCTAAGATATTCTTATAATATTTCTACATTATATTTATTTAAAAAAAAAAATCTGTAGATTTTCGCCACAAAGTATTAAAACGTTACTTTGGTTAGTTTTTTTAATAATTTTTTACGCTGAAAAGTAAGAAAAATTGAAAAAAAATTTGGAATTTTTAGTAAGTAAATAAATATTTTCATTTTACAGCATTTAGTCTTCAACTCTTTATTGTAAGAAAAAGATGGCACAACTGCGCTTGGTAATCACGAGATAAAAAGCCAGATACTTACCGGTGTTTTCAAGCAAGTGGTAATGGAAGAGAACAACAGGTAACATAACAGTAAGATCAAAGATGCAAATTCAATGCGTATATTAAAAATATGGTACTGACATATCAATCCCAGTAGTTGGGTCTTCCTCAGTGTATAAAATATAATGAAGTTTTTTAGTGAAATTTTTTTTTATTTTTTTTATTAATTCATCAATATTTTCAAAAAATATATGCATTGGTTTACACACGAATATCTGGTATTGACTGACAATGCCATTTCCATCTACATCTATATATTTATTCTGTAATTTATTTAGAGAGTCTTTTTCTTATTATTTTATTTTTTATACACAATCAATACTGTCATCTTGACAAAGGCTATTTTAAAACAGATTTCGAGCAATATTTATGAATCCCGCCCCTATACCAAAACAATGCAGAGACTCTGGTTCTTTTTAAATTTTTGAATTATGGAAACTATTCTTTCTCTTCGTTCCAGATTCTGATATCAAAAGCATTTTTATTAATATAAGGGTAGTGTAATCAGTTATTACAGGAAGATAATCAATTATTGGAGAAATATCATCGATACCGACATATCTTGTTTTTAGATAACCTTGTTTTTGGACAATATTTCTTGAACAAAAAGGTAAAAACAAAAATTCAAAAACAAGTACAAACTAAAAAATGTCTTCCATCAGACAGTATAAGCAATTTTTTTATACCGTTTGTAATTTTTGCAATGATTAGTTTTTTCATAAGGTAAGCAAAAATGAGCGTTTGACAAAATGGGGTTTAAAAAAGACACAGTGCTGAGACAGTAATACTACGTATTCCTAGTCTTTTTTTTCTTTTACAGAAATAATTTGAATAAAGTACCTACAAGTGAATGTTTATAAGAAGTTCCAGAATCTTTTCACTTCATTATAAAACATTTTCATTAAATTATGAATATTTACTTCCCTACTAAAAAAAAAATCACAACGTGAAATCATGTAACCAAAACATGTAAATCACGTAACGAATTGTTCCAAATAAATTTTTTTTTTAAATGACATAATTTATAAAATCACATGATATTAGAAATAATTTTATGCATTATGTGATTTTATGTCAAATTTTAAAGAATTGAATGATTGAAATGGAAGAAAAGAGAACATATCATGCGACTTTTAAATTATATAATTTTAAAGACTCACGTACTGATTTGGAACAATCTGTTATGTACATGATTTACGTTTTAATTACATGATTTCATGATTTTATGATTTCTACTGTGTGACGTGATTTTTTTCATTGGAGTTTACGCTGTTCTGCAAAATGCAAATATATAACGCGATAATTTTTTTAATTTTTTCCATATATAATTTTCGGCTCTAATGAAGCCATTTAACAACATTAAAGCACAACAGTAAAACAACATTACAAAGTTTAAGTTAGCTCATGATTTGTTTTACAGATAGGTGTGGCGGTTTATGCTGCACAATTTTAAATTTAAAATCGCATTATGAAAAAATTAAGAGAAAAAGTAATATAAATAAAACTAATTTAGGAAATTACAAACATTTAAAATGACATAATATTATCAATAATATGATCATTATTTATACTATTATTTAAACTACGCAATTTGCAAAAGAAAATCGTAAGAATTTTATTTTTGTATTCGTAGAATTCGTTTTTAGCTGATTTGATAGAAACAAGTCACAAATATACAAATTATGAGTTTGTACCTCTTTAATTAGTCAAAAAGATCATTATTTTATTAGTATTAATAAAGTACAGTAGTTGTACTAAAATATGTATAGTTAGTTTATGAAAAATAATGGCTTCAGAAGACATGTGTTAGTATCGGTTTCTCTTCATTTTTTCCTTTACATTGTCATATTACATAATTACAAGATCATAAGAGAATCTCTATCATAATCAAAGAACTATGGTACAAAAATTTATAAACTATTTTATTGATTTTTAAAAAAATGTTTTTATTAGATTGCTCTTTATTCAAGATGTTATGTTATCGAATGATGCAGTGCACATAAAGTGGAGGGGCTCCGCCAGGACGAAGAAGTCACGGGGAGGATGTTTCGTTTTACACTATATAAATCCTCTAACTTCTTTATATAAACTAGTCTTGTCGCAGTGGTCGAATCTCGCTGATCAAATTTAATCTGCATTATACAAATCAAATGGGAAATATTCTCTAATAAAACTCTAAAACATTACACTAACGTTTGCACGGACAAAGTTAATAAACAATCCATTTTTAATATATTACTCATTGGGATAAACGTGTCTTCTTTATCTCGGCGAAGAACATAATTCTAGATCTGCGCATTAATGAAATTC